GTTTTAAAGCATGTTACCCAAGAGGAGGGGAAAGCAATGTATATTTCCCTCGTATATTAAAGGGTGTAGCCGAGAGGAAGGGAACGCAAGGTATATTTTCCTCGTTTCCGCGTAGAATTTTTGTAACACACCGACTTTTCCCCAGCATTGACTAGCTCTCAACGTAGGGAGATTAATGAGGGATGCTGACTTAAATGAAGAGACAAGACAACCTGGCCAGGCAAGCCAAAGCAGTCAACATGCTGCAAACATATTTTTAATTTTTGATTTAATTCATGCCGTAAACATGAGCATAGGGGGCCAATTTGCTTGAAAATGATGGGATCATCTCAGAGTAAGTGTATGGAAGCAATTCACATCTGATCTATGGACAAATATTAGTAGTGAACCTTTATTTAGCTATCTCTAATTAAAAGTGATAAATAAAGAAGATTTTCCAAAAAAGTTAAATTTGGCAAATTGCTGGTTAACTGTCGCCATCGCTACGACAAACTAGAAAATTACATCATATTTCATGAGAAAAAACGCTTGCTTTCTCTACAAACAGTAGCTTATTTGCAAGCGTTTCCATTCGTTCGAAATTAATTATCAAAAATAGATTGCATACTTGGATACTTAAGTAGCTTTCAAAGTTTTAAAGATTACACTACTTCAGCAAACCTTTCGCTAAGCTTGAAAGAGATAAAGAGCTAGCAAGAGACCATGATCTGCACCTCATTTTCTCTTGGAGATAGACAGCCTGAGTCATAGACAGCCTGAGTGGGGAAAGATGGAGCGAGAAGGTTTTCAGTGAAGCGCAAACATGTCAGAGGGCTTACACTGTTCATAGCCCTCTGACTAGTTTCTTGTATTTTGATTCCATTCTTTGTTTGGCTCGCTTCGCTCGCCTCCACGCCCCCACGCCTGCTTGTTTCACGCGCGCTTCGCTCGCTTTTTCTTTCGCGCACGTTGAAAATTAATAGAGAGGATGCGGAGAGTCCAAGAGAGCTCGGTGCAAGGCTTGCCATGGCTTCCTTGTTGTGGTCATTTTTGAGCAAGACACCACGCACAAGGTACCTCTGTCAATACAGTCATGGGTTCTTCAAACTGATTTGGTCTGGAATTCCTCGCTTTCTTTCATGTATTTCAGGGAACTTTTGGGGGCTTTAAGGGAGCTTCCGAAGATCGAGGGTCGTTGATGTAATGTGCTACGTATTTCTCCTTATTTTGGGCCCGGTAAATTCCAGCAAGTTAAAGTGATTATAGCTTTATTTCGAGTGTTTCGTTTCGTTTGTTACTCCTGAGGACAATTTTGCAAAGATTCAAATACAGTGAAGCCCTCTCTAAGGACACCTGTTAGTACAGTGTTAGCGAAAAGCGTTGTTTCATAATCTTGGGCGTTGGAAAAGAACTGTTTTCCGACGAACAGCTGACTGTCTTTTGGGGTTAGGGTTAGGGTTAGTTCTGATTCTTGGCGTTTTCAAAGTGTATGTGAAGAGGATTTAGATAAAGTTTTAAGCTACTAGTAGATTTCTACTAAAACAATTAGATCGGTTATTCGCTCTCGATTTCGATGTGTGATAGTTGACTTGAGCTGCGCTCTCGTCAACTTTCACGCGATAGAAATCTCGAGCTCATAATCTAATTGTTTAGTAGAAAACGCTCGTGAAATTCGTGAGAAAACGTAAAAACTATTTATCGTTTTATCAAACTAAACTCGTGTTTCAAATCCATAGGAACAGGGAAAATGTTTTCTATTTATTAAGGTCTGTCAACGCTCGCTAACAAAGTAAAACAGTGAAGGCAACCATTAAAAAAATACAGGAGCCGTTAGCTATTTTCACCAAGAGATAATCTCTTGTTTTCGCTTAAAAATGCTGTTTTCAAAGATTTCTTAGAAATTTTACGCTTGTTTAGCGAGAATATCAGACTCCGTTTCACATTATTGACATGGTATCTTTCAGCGTGTGGTCGAGCTGAGCTTAGTAATCAATTTCCCATCCATCAAACGTGATAGCAGCCTACGAATACAGTCGCCTCGGTCGGTTTGGCGTTTCGGGAGCGTTAATAGGCTATTGATTTCTCAGGTAAACGTGATACCTATTTGCCACAGGAATGCAAAACTCGATAAAACACTGTCCTAAAGTTTTAGCGTGCTTGACACGAGAGGAAATGAGCTAAATGTTGCCGAACTATTCTTTCGTCTAGTGAANCTATTTATCGTTTTATCAAACTAAACTCGTGTTTCAAATCCATAGGAACAGGGAAAATGTTTTCTATTTATTAAGGTCTGTCAACGCTCGCTAACAAAGTAAAACAGTGAAGGCAACCATTAAAAAAATACAGGAGCCGTTAGTTATTTTCACCAAGAGATAATCTCTTGTTTTCGCTTAAAAATGCTGTTTTCAGAGATTTCTTAGAAATTTTACGCTTGTTTAGGGAGAATATCAGACTCCGTTTCACATTATTGACATGGTATCTTTCAGCGTGTGGTCGAGCTGAGATTAGTAATCAATTTCCCATCCATCAAACGTGATAGCAACCTACGAATACAGTCGCCTCGGTCGGTTTGGCGTTTCGGGAGCGTTAATAGGCTATTGATTTCTCAGGTA